TCACACGATGTTACCAAAATGTAAATTCGCAAATCAAACTTGTAACCTTCCATTAAAAAAGGCTTTTCAATGTATTCTTGGACAATCAAATGATCCTGAGATGGAAGTTTGTCACCATTTCTTATCAAAGAAATCCTAAATATAATGAAAAGAATTTTAAAAGTTAATATAGTATGAAGCCAAAATGTCTAAATACAAACTCCTGCATACATGCATGCACACATGCCTTCAAGAGAAAAACGGCAAGGGTGGAGAAGTCCAACGAGTCTCTTCCTGCACAAAAGCAACAAATAAACTGAGAATCCTTTTTTTTCCCCCCTAGAATTCTGGAAAATAATTAAAAGCTTATAACAATCAGAGCGTGCTTAATAAAAACAATAAACAATTGAATCTGCATTTAAAAAGCTATGTGGCATTTCAATGTACCCCCATCCCATTCCTCCCTCTGAAGCTAGCATAGATAACAAAACTAGAGGTGGTGCAATGGACATTATCCTGTGCTTCTGCGTTTTGACCTGTCTTGGAGCTCCCTGAGACCCTTAAGGGCTTGTTTGTATCTTCCCTACCTTCGGACACACCTAGTGCTAAAAAAATACTCAAAGAAAAATGGTTGGAAATATTTAAAGTTAAATTTATTAGCCATCATTTCTGTGGACAATGAATAATAACTGGGACAAATGGGACAAATTAAAAAGACGAGAGGCTAAAGAATAAGCTTATAGAAGGGATCATGGCTTTAAATAGCTTTGACATATTTCTTGAAGGAGAGACACATGCCCAGAGATGGATACATTATCTAAATCTTGAGAAGGCCTAACACTCTCACCTCTCAATTATCTTTAGGCTCCACTCAAGCAGGGAATACGGCTAAGAAAGAGTCAGACACTGGCTATCTGGATATACAAGACATGCCTCAACATACATACACATACACAGAATCCACCAACAATGACTAGAAAATTCTCTCTCCTACCACTAGCACATGATTATTATAACAGATTTTGGTGAACACTCACAAGAAAAAATACAGACTTTATAAAGTTGGTTGAAAAAAATCATTAAACAAGTAATCGCCTACAACAAGCATCACCAACAAGCTCTGAGA